AGTCCAATAATAGATCATGCCGGAAACGAGAAGCAAGACTTTACTGCTGACGTTTCACAAGTGCTTACCGTGGATGCCAAGGACGATAACTGCATACAATGGCGGCATCAAGATTGTATAAGCTGTCAAGATGGTAGAATTCGTCCGGCTGATCATTACTAGTTGACCGAGGTAAGCAATGTGTTATAAACTAAAGGGTTTGTCTGTAAGTGTCATATTAGTGTGTCAGTAGAGACAGTCCCGTCTCATCTTATGCGTTGGTTGAGTACTTGAGCTCCAAGTCATATGAGTTCTTCGCGTGTCCAGCATTAAGTCAAGCCACCAGCGCCTCATATGTGTGAAAGTCTGTGAGCGCCTGATTCTCGTTGACGGGTTGCGAGAGTCATGATGTCATCATTCTTCATCGATATTGGCTAACACTTGAGTATTTCATAGCTTAATTGTGTTTCTTAATCTCGAACTGATCTCTCCTTTTCAGTTACTCTTTTAAAAAGTAAGTTGGACCTGATAAAACATGCCCTCCTCTACTTCTCCCCACCCGGACCAGCGAGGCGTGGAACCTCACCCGGACAGACCTCGCAATGTGACCGGCGACGTCGACTACACTCCTGATCCGAGCAAGTCCGTCTCCATTTCGCCTTCTCGGAAAGAGATCCAGCAGAAGATTCTCAACTTGTACTGCGGGAGTGCGTCAGAAGAAGACATGAAGGTCTACGCCGAAAAAGCCATCTACGACGACCCCTTCAGCTATTGCGATACTAGGTATGCCCGTGTCAGAGTCGCGCACCGAGAAGTGCATGTGTTAACACTATTTAGATATAAGATTGCAGGGCAGTGGTTTGGGCTTCCCAAGATGTTTTCCCGCTTAGAATCTCTAGGGACTGAGGTGACATCTTCGGGACCCCACGAACTTGTGTGGAAGCAGAAGCACAAGTACACGTTTGCCGGGATCAGCACTTCAAAGACTATAGATAGCTTCGTAAGTCTGAAGCTGGAGGGAAAGGAGCCAGATGAGAAGGTGGTTTACCACAAGGATATGTGGGACGAGAAAGACTATTCTCATGAAGGGCTGGGTGCGATACTGAAGAAGTTGAACGGGTAAGTTTTGGTGTATTGACTTTGAAATGCGATAAGAGAGAACTTACGAGTGATACAGTGACAAGTTGACATACATCACCAAGCCGCCAGAGTCGATCTAGTTAGGGCAGTGATATATAAAGCGCAAAAGCGCATTTGCACCATTTACGGATTAGAGGACTTCTATTTCAACTTTTCTTCGCCCACTGACTCGTGATGACCTTATCTTCAGGTCGAATTAACAACCACTGCCATGTTCGGCTATATGCAAATTATAAGACTAACCGTAGTCTAGAGCCACGAAGATTGCATGGACGGTGGCTAACCTTGATGACGGATCTGTATTTCTGAATGATAAATACCTTTCTCTTCAGACTCTCTCCAACTCGGATCTAAAAATGGAGCTTCCTGCTCCTTGGCTGCACTGATAGAATATCCGACCTAATGTCACCGTCCTACTCGCATTCTCCTCGAATTTGGTTCGCTGCGAGCGAGCGGTGGGTTGACTAGCAGCCGTGGGAGGCTTGGCTCGCCCGTGCCGATGCGACGGTAGATGGGCCCTGGCCAGATGCAATTCAGCCAAATTCCCCTAATTGTCAAGCGGCGCAGGACGAGACCGACACCCCTCCATTTCGACTAACCCAACCTAGAATCACCTGGGCACCAGCCGTCTCGTCAACGGCGGCTCTTTCCATGCCGGCTTAGGTATACAGCCCCTGAGACTTTATTTATCTACATCTTTTCTGCCCGCCCTCCTGCCTCTCCCTTCCGATGAGTTCTCTATACTCCCGGGAGTAGGCTCGAGGTGAATGGTATGACGAAGAGATCCTAGACCCGCGTCGCTCGCCTGTTGTCCATGGCACTTGCGAATCTCGGCTGCATCTGCATCGCCATCGAACCAACATCGACACCTGCATTGTTAGGACACAGGTCGACGCAGCAGGCTGCGATCACGAGTCGTCATGACACCTTTTATTAAGAGTTTACCCCGGCGACGGCGGTTTCTCCTCGTCATCCCGGCACTGGCGCTGCTGGTCTGGGCTCTGCTCCCGCCTACTAAGTTGAATTCTCCGCGACCGCTGTTCAGCAATATGAAGGACTCACCAGGAAAATCTAGCGATAAATATTTGCGATATGTTGATCCCCTTATCGGCACCGTCAACGGAGGTGGGTAGCAAGCGGCGCAGCCTTCGTTTGAGACGGATCAGAGTTGCTGACTTTAGCATGCTATAGGTCACGTATTTCCTGGTGCAACGCTGCCATATGGTAAGTCAAGGTGGTGGACGATGTGCCGAAGACCCAAGAAAAAAAGGAAAAAGAATAAAATAAAATAGGAATCCTTGCTGATGCATCCCCTAGGCATGGCAAAAGCCGTCGCCGATGTCGACAACCGCGGTGAGGCAGCTGGAGGTTTTGTCTCGGACGAGTCGAAGATCCAGGGCTTCTCCCACTTGCACGATTCAGGTAATTATGAAGCCAAGCCGTCTTAGACAGCCTACTAATTCATCTTAGGCACCGGAGGGGTGAGTTGACCACCATTTCTAATCTTGCAGCTCAACTCTGACCGGTAACAGAGTCCTTCGATGGGGAATTTCCCCATATTCGTGCACCCAGGGTGTCCCGAGGATAATTACACTCAGTGCAGATACTCAGCCATCGGCAGGGCTGTAGCGAGGATAGAGGACTCGGCAACGGCCCGGCCCGGATACTTTGCTATCAGTCTGAACAACTCGGTTCACGCCGAGATGGCGGCCAGCGAGCATACCACGCTTTTCAAATTTAGCTTCTCTCAAGATGACGACGTTGTGTCTCACAACGAGGTAGTACCTAATAGCCCTCTGATTCTCATCGATTTGAATGACTTGGGCAATACTCGAAGCGGAGGTGACATCGAGGTTAACCCTCAGACAGGAAGGATATCAGGGAATGGCACATTTTCCCCGTCCTTTGGAACGGGGTCTTACACAGCTCACTTTTGCGCCGATTTCATGGGCGCCAAGATACGGAAGACGGGCACGTTTTTGTCAGACAACGCGTCAGACCAGATTCAGGCGTTCGGCAAAGTGGCAACCAATTTCAACATCCCGTACGGCACGGCGGGAGGCTGGGTTCATTTCGAGCGCCCGGCCGCCGGGCCGATCACGGTGCGAGTCGGGCTTTCATTCATCTCCGTGCAGCAAGCCTGCCAGAATGCGGAGAAAGAGATCCCTAGGTTTAAGTTCGATGACGTTGTGAAGGCGAGTGAGGACGCCTGGAGGGAGAAGCTCTCGGTCATCACTCCCGATCACACGGGCATGAGCAACGAGTTTCTCACTACCTTCTGGTCGGGCCTTTATCGTGCGCTGATCTCACCACAAGATTACACAGGTGAAAATCAGCTGTGGGAGTCGGACGAACCGTACTACGACTCCTTCTACTGCATCTGGGATTCGTTCCGGGCGCAGCATCCTCTGCTAACTATAATGGATCCGGAGGTGCAGACCAAGATGGTCAGGTCGCTGATCGATACGTACAAGCACGAAGGCAAGCTCCCAGATTGCCGTATGAGTTTCAGCCAGGGATACACGCAAGGAGGGTCCAATGCAGATGTCGTGCTTGCAGACGCGTATGTCAAGAACCTAACAGACGGCATCGACTGGGCCCTTGGGTACGAGGCCGTCGTTTCGGATGCGGAAGTGGAACCCAAGGACTGGTCTACTTCAGGCCGCGGCAGCTTGGAGAACTACCACGACTACGGATATGTGCCATTCGACGACACAGATCATAACGGAACAGGCCCTATGAGCAGAAGTATATCGCGCACGGTAGAATATGCGTACGACGACTTCGCCATCGCCTTGATGGCGCGGGGTCTGGGTCACAAAGACGACGAGGCCAAATATTTACAACGGAGCGGCAACTGGAAGAATTTGTTCAACCCGGGACAAGACGACAAATATATGGACGAACTAGGAGACGTCGTACAGTCGAAGTTCAAGGGTTTCATGCAGCCGCGCTTCCGCAACGGCACGTGGCATTACCAGAACGTGCGGCTGTGCAGCCCGATATACGCGCAGCACAGCTGCTACTTCGACACGCAGTACGACACGTACGAGGGGAGCCCGTGGCTCTACACGTTCTACGTGCCGCAGGACATGGCGAGCCTGGTGACGACGCTGGGCGGGCGCGAGACCTTCGTGGAGCGGCTTGACTTCTTCCACGCGTCGGGCATCAACTACATGGGCAACGAGCCAAACTTTTTGTCCACGTTTCAGTTCCACTACGCGGGGCGCCCCGGGCGCAGCAGCTACTGGGTGCACCAGTACGTGCCGGCGCAGTTCAACGCCAGCGTCAACGGGATCCCGGGCAACGACGACTGCGCCATGGGCGCCTTCACGGCCTTCGCCTTCATGGGCTTCTACCCCGTCGCCGGCCAGGACGTCTACCTGCTGACGGCGCCGCTGTTCCGCCAGGTCAGCCTGCGCACGCCCTCGGGCAAGCAGGCTACCCTGCGCGTCGCCGGCGGCTTCGACGCCCCCGACTACAACAACATCTACATCCAGAGCGCCAAGCTCGACGGCAAACCGTACAACCGCAGCTGGATCTCTCACGACTTCTTCGTCCGCGGCGGCGTCCTCGACTCCGTGCTCGGCAGCCAGGAGAGCGACTGGGGCTCCCGCGACGAGGACCTTCCGCCGAGTCTATCGACGGGGCTGTTATGACGAGGACGTGGATGATGGAGTGGGGTGGTGTATAAAGAGTATGAGAGTATATATAATTTGTGTATAAATCATGGCTAGGCAGCATTCCATAGAGCAAAATGCGGCAGGGCATACTGAAAGTAGCCCAAAAGATACTTAAGATCAGATGGAAATAGGTGCAAGATCCAGTCAGGCAATAACGATACCATAAGAAAAGGGCCAAAAAAGAGGCAAAATAAGTAGCTCTCGATCGGGGAATCGAACCCCGGCCACCTGCGCACTTGTACAATGACTCTGACAATGACAAGCAGGTATCCTGACCACTAGACCAATCGAGACTCATCGATCCTTATCAAGTCACTGATTCGAACTTGATTACGGAACTGCATAAGGTAGCTTATATACTTACCTACTTCCTCGTTGGCTCAGATCACCTTTCCCCCCCTTCTCTCTACAGAAGGCGCGCGAAAGAAAATTTTGTGTGCGAGGTGCTAAATCCACATGCCCTGACCCGACGGAGAGGAACCGCGTTGTTGATTCGTCGTTCTCGTACATGGCTTGACACTACGGCATCTAGGCGTCTTTGGCGCCGTCGTGTGTGGATCAGTCTTGATGGGCGGGTATCCACACGGCTCCTCTGCGCTTTATCACGAATACATGTTAGGGGGGAATACGTAGTTGCGGAATAGGAAGTAGGGGTAATAGTATACAGCTAGCCGGCTTATCCATCACAGAAGAGGGACCTATGAAAAATGGGAAATCGATATAGTACAAGGGAGAGCCATTCAGCCTCTCGGGCTGATGACGATGTTCTCATGCTACACCTGAGAACATGCATATTACACGGGTAGTTACAGTCCGTCGCGTATTCAAACCACATCAGCAACTATACGCCATCACTCCCCATCGTCCGACTCGTCGTCGTCGTCGTCGTCGTCGTCGACTTCCCCGGGGTCACCGGCGCCGTCGGCCGGCTCGTCCGAGTCGCTGTCGAAGTTGGGATCGGGCATCACGACGCTGTTGAGGAACGTGACCTGGTCCCCAGGTATCTATCATCAGCTTTGCTCTCTAATATTCTAGATATAGAGGGGCTTGGCAAAGACGGAATGCTTTATTACTTACAAATTCGACCATAGCAGAAATGACGCCTATAACACGCTCCTGCGCGTCGTCGGCGAGCACATCCGCGTCGTCCAGCTTCTTCATGACGGTGTAGTTGCGCAGCTTCAGCAGCTCGATGTCCTTGTGGTCGGGATGGAAGCCCTGGAGCGCACGACGAGGTCAGTCAGTAAGTCTGTTCTCTCGAACACCTTGTTTCCCTTCTTTCTCTTCGACCAGAAAGAGAAAGAAACATACCTTCGGCTTCGTCTTCAGCGCGTTCTCCCGATTCGCCGCCGCGAACGCCTTCAGCGCCGACTTGTCGCTGCCGGCCTTGGCGCCCGGCAGGAAGGTCTCGCGGAAGGCTGGGTTCGTCAGGACGCGGCGGATGCGGTGGGGCCGCTCGTCGATGTTTGCCCGTAGCTTGGCCAGCGCGCTGGCCTCTGGGTGCCACAGTCCGCCGCCCACTATGCATCGTCCCGGCTCCACGTGCACGTAGTAGCAGGCGTAGGGCCCCTTGCGGCCCGTCCGCGACCACGCTGCTGAGTAGTGGGGCTAAGAGGTGCATGTTAGAAACGGAGCTGTCGTCGAAGATGGTATAATGTTGAAAGACGGGAGACTCACCTTGTACGGCGTGGGATCGTTGCTGAACCGGATGTCGCGGTAGATGCGGAAGATGACGTCCTTGAGGGGCAGCTCCGGGATCGTCTCGTCGGCCTCGATGATCTTCTCGGTGAGCGTCTCCACGAACGACTCCCAGTCCTTGAGCGACCTTCTGTACTCCTTGTCGTTCTCTGGCAGCGCCGGGAGCTTCATGTTAGAATAAAATCCACAGGTCTTTGCACCTGAAACGAAGGATAGGGTTGCCTATAACGTACCCTTAAGCCAGTTCCTCTGGTTGTGGGCCTTGAGGTCCCCGAGGAAGAGAAATGTGTTCTTGTGCAGCTTTGTGTCCTCGTACTCGACACCGCCGGTGTCTCTTAATTCGATAGCTACGACACCCAGCATCAGCGTTCGTGTCCAGATGCGCATGTTTTAAATTGAGATTTCGAAATGGTGCTGGCATGCTCCTACCTGGAATAAAAGTAATGCGGTTCTCCTCATCATCGTCGTCGCTATCTTCATCGGGATCTTCTAATTTGGCTTTCGCATTGGCTTTCGTCTTGGACTTGGTAGACGAATTTCGAGCCTTTGCATTTGGCGTGGCTTTCTTTTTAACCGGTGTTGACGCCGTCTTCTGCTTCGACGGTCTTCCGCGGCCTCGCTTCCGGACAGGCGGCGCTTCGCTTTCCGAGTTGTCCGCGCCGAGATCGTCGTCGCTAGACTCTTCGGCGTCGGCGTCCTTATACTCCTCGTTCACGTCGCCGTCATCATCGTCGTAGTCCTCGTCATTGTTCTCGTCGCTATCGTCCTGCAACTCGTCGTCCGATTCCACCTTCGCCTTGCCGGTAGATCTCCGGCGTGGCGACTTAGTTTCGGTCTTTGCCACCTTGCGAGGACGCTGTCCCGCCAATTCGTCCACGCTGCCACTGTCGTTGTTGTCGCTCCCCTCAAAGTACACGCTCTTCCGGCCGCCTGAGCTGATGCGCCCGGATCTGCGACGGGTGCTTCTTCCAGTTTCTGGGGTAGCGGCCGCCTCGACCGCGGTGCGTTTCCTAGGGGCCATGACTGTAATTCTCTAATTTTCCTTTAGTTCTGTATTGGAACTGAACTTTAACCAAATAGATTGCCGTAGGACAATGGAATCTTCTGATGACGCGTTCGAGTCAAACCGCGGGGCCGATGGCTTCACGCTGTCACGTGACTTGGCAAGGGAGAAGTGAACTGAGCCAAGGTTCACCTTACTGATTGTCATCAATCTCGCCACTAAGGATAATACGAACGCAGATATACGAAGAAATAAATGTTGCAATACGTAACGGTATATCTTATTATAGAAAATTGAGAGTTCGGGGGTATTCATTATTGTACTAAGTTCTGCTAATATCTAGTTGACTGGCCGGCTGGCCAGAAGCTAGCAGCTCTCGCCACGCATCGTCTATGAGCTACGCCCACTCCCAGGTACAGGTAGTTCGCGACGTATATATTCTCGAATCTCACTCCCTACATACCTCCTAGGTAGGTAGATGTCTCTCTCCGTACGGCATCCCGTATCACCAGAATCCTCCACCTTCAGCAGTATTCCGCTGCGAAATACTTTACCGGATCGGTGTAACTTGCTTCGTCTATATATCACTCGGTGGCGAGTCCTTGGTACGATCATGTCGTATATCGGGTACGGCTCATTGCTCGGTTGTGCTGTCAGCTCTCGGACTATTTGATGACACCATCGTCCGTTAACAGGGCTCAGCCGATTTTCTTGCAGGCAGCACGTCGGTTATCGATGCCGCGAAACTTTCCGTGGCGTCGTGTTCGGAATGGCCCGGCGCAAGCCTTAGATTGTGCTCACGCATGCATCGAGTGACGTTATGAGAGCAGGTCAAACTTTGGCTCAGCCGAGTCCCGGATTGGACGACATGCGGCCCAGCGGTGTCCTGTCGCGCGGCTTCTCTATCAGGTCTGCGTACCCTTCTAAACCAGCCCCGATTGCTTTTACCATGTCGAAGATGTCCGACGCCTTAAACGCCTCGGCCCACAGGCGTATCACGGCCACTGCGAGCTGGCGCAGCTTCGTGCTGTCGCTCGCGGCTATGTCCATGCTCGACGGGCCGTGCCCGGGAACACCCCCTGAGAGCGACGGATCGATAGGCACTGCAAACTCTGTTTCGTCGAGCATATGCCGCAGCATCTCGAGAAAGTGTCGTTCCTCAGGCTCCGGGGGAGCACCCGTCGGCCCGATCGAAGCCAAAGTCATAAGCCATTTCGAAAGGAGGATGGCACACTCGAGGTTACAGACTGTGCTGAAGTCAGACTACTTCTGTCGCGGGCTCTTGTCCTAGTTAATCCATAAAACAGACTTACGTGAATGCTGCATGCTCCATTCGGATGATTTCCTCCTCGCCACATAGTTGACTCCAACCTTGACCAACATCGACAGCGCATGGATAGCCTGGAAGACGGCTCGGTTCAGTCGCACGCTCCGGACAAGGTACGGCGCGTCGTGGAAGGCCTGGGCAATTTGACTCGCATCCCTCGTTTCGAGTGTCCTGCTAGGACTGAGGTCGGTGTACAGTCGTATCGACGCTAATCGCCAGAGGGCTGTTGAATTGTAGGCAACGGGCCCCCCTGGGAGTACATCCGTGCCATTCTGCGGATTTCCTTCCGTTACGCGCGCCTGATGCTGCTCGAAACTCATCTGCCAGATACGCAAAGCCTGAAAGCAGTCCTCGACGTCATCCTGCCGCAGCCCGCCGAACGGTGACACCGAGTTGAAGGATGTCTGCTTTAAGAGAAATATGTGCTGCAGTATGGCGTGGATGAGAATGTAATTTCCCAGCGACGACATGTACGCTGGAGGACCCTGGGATGACCGGCTGAACAGTCTCGACAAGGCATCCTGGACGGATATATCCATGCTCGGAAAAGACTGGCGCGCTTCTTGCCACTGCCAAGCAGTCTCCGCCCTCCAAAGCTTCGATGAGTGTGGAAGGATAAGGTTAAGTTCCGAGGTCAGCAGTAAAGGCGGCATGTTGTAGGCGATGCTGCACAGGTTGAAGAAGCAATACGTTACGAGCTTTGTCCGGTTGGCCCCTTCTATTCGGACCCATGCCTCCCAGTCGGCAGTCTGCGTAGACTCCGACAAGAATCCCTCTTCGCGCACCAAGAGAGCTAGGAGGCTCTGAAGCGACAGTGCTTCGCGGAGAATGGCTTTAGCACCCCAGAGACCGACGGCGAAAAGAAGTAGAAGGGCTTGTATTGTCTCCATCCGAGACTGGGGGGTATTTGGTGAACTTCGAGAAGCCAAACGTTAGTAAGTCTACTTAGGGACGAGATATAAGTCATTCTGATAGGGCTCACTTACTAGGGTTCCCGATGCGTGTCTTGGGTCATTGGGCGTTCTTGCTGGACGGAACTAAAAGAGTGACGGAACCCATGGCTTGGAGATGGGCGGGTAGAATGCGGGCTATACGCCGCCGGTGTTGGGAGTAGCCCGTGGATTTCGTGACTATGGCGACGTCGAATCTGCTCGAGAGCCACGGCTTTTGCCGCGTACCACAACGCATTGGACCGGTGGCTCTCAAACCTGTACTGTGCGCCCACTGCCAAGATTGCCAGCAACAGCTCCGGAGCTAGGTCGACG